GCTTAGAGATTATGTGTTTACCCCATTGACTTATCGCAAGATAAATACGGTAACAGAGAAAATAAATGGCATAAATTTATATTCAATATTAAATATTTCTTTAACCCTTTCACACCTATGTAACTTTAGTAGACTCCACAATGCTTTGATATGGATGAGTCCATTATGGTCTACAGTGTTGAAAGGGTTAAACCTATACAAATCCTGTATTTTTTTCTTTTCTATATTCTATATAAGAGAATGAGATTTGTATTTTATTTTGTTATTTTTATATGAGTTTTTCATGCAACCACTCTGTATTCCCAGCACATGCTTTAAGTATTGTAGGACATGTACATGAATCATGCATTTATTTATTTTTGTTTGTTTTGTTCAGCATTATGTTGCAGAAAAATTCTGTAAATCAAAATACAAATATTTGTACATTCCTTTCCCTGTTTTTATGTTGATTATGGGTTCTGTTGCTTTAAGACCTGCTGTTTGGATTGTGGTGTTTTGGTGTGCCTGACAATCTGTTGTTAATTCAAGTCCCCTTGTCCATATGCAAGTTGCCATACTGTGACTTTTTATAAAAGTCTTCCATTTCAGCTGGTGATTTTTTTCTTAATTAGCCAATGAAATTTGGTTTGATATAACACAGAAGGAGCTAGTAGGAAATGCTGTAACAGCCCGTTTTATTGGTTAATGTAAAATCAGTGTTGATATAGGGGTGTAGAAGTCAGATGTGCATTATCACTTACACATAGTGTGAAGTGTTCTTATACAACTAATCAGTGTTAAGTATATAGAAAAAGAAACCAGACAGATTACGCCTGTCACCGTCTTCAACTAAAACCTGGCAGTTTATATACATTCCTCATAGTCTGCATTTGGATTTAATTATGATGAAGCACAATGATATGCATTATTTCTACTCATCAATTAAAAGTTAATTAACTTTGAGATTATTTAAGCAAGTGGCGTTGCTATAAAGAGTATGATTTTTTGCCGACTGGTTGATGGGTTCACAATAAACAGAAGCTTTCCTTGTCTAATCCATTCATGTATAGACATTCAAATGTGACAGGCCGGGGATTAAGTGCGTGTAGTAACCGGGGTAAGGTTTCCGTAGTCTGTTAGTACGTCTACACAGGCATTTTACCAATGGGCATATCATCACATAGATCTTCTGGATTCACAAAAAGAATGACAAATATGATACAAAAAAAATGAACACATTGCATGAACAATGATTTGAACATAATTTTGTTAAATCATCAAAAGAGATCACTTTTAAATTCATGGATATATTTAAAAAAAAAATGAACACCATTAATATACAATTTATTTGAACATAAATTTGCTAAATTTCTGTTTCAGCAAACTCATGTTACAATTAGTTGCCAATTCAAATTGTTTTGAAAATTACGAGCAATTAGTGTATATATTTTGAACAGCTATACTTTCTTTACCTTAATTATATATTTAAATGTAAAATCATTTGAACAGATAAAGACATCCTTCATCATCAGATATTTTGCATCAAGATGTCACAAAGAACTTGTCGTTCACAGGTACCAGGCACTCTGGTATTTTGACGACAGTGGAATAATCCATAAACCATTGCAATCACATGTCTGGCCCCTGTGTTACTACCCCTTGTATTGACAGTAGACTTTCCCATTCTCAGATGTTGGTCGTGCCATTTGTGTGTGTAGGGGTGTTGGGGTGTCCTGATATGGACCAGAATCTAGTCGCTTGCTTATCAGTTGTATTTGTAGGCTGCTGACAATGTATTTGAGGTGGTTTTTTTAGACAGCTGTAGCACAATAGAACAACAGAACTTCTCACATAAACTGATACCAAGGCCAAATAGAGACCAAGGCCAAATAGATAAAAAAAGATTTCCCGACAGGAAATGGACATGTTTTTCTTGGTTATCGTTAATAATGGCATCTTTAACAGATAAAGACCTTCCTTTTGGTGAGCATTGTTACTTTTTTTTGGTGCAATTAATAAGTGATGATAAATGCTACAATATTTGATTTTTAATGAACTTAATTGAAAATTCAGTCAAATTTAAATGAATTACATCCAAACTTTGACTTACTGAAAGTAGGTTGTGATGCCGCTGCCTTTTTATGAAAGTTCTTAGGAGATATTGTTCTACAGCTTAAACAACCCATTTTGTCAGTTTTTATTTGGCCATATGCTTTTGTTTTATTTTTTATTGTTGGATAATGTGAATCATTTTTAAGATATTTATATCTATGCTGTGTATTAATTTTTCCTTTTTTCAGTCTCATTTATTTGTATTTGATAGTTTTTTTCTACTTTCAATCTTGTAAGAGAAATTAAATTTTGCCTATGTGTTCCACCTCTGAAGAATCTATTCAATGTTTTTCATTTTTCTTGTGTGTGTGAAGTTTTGACACAGAAAAAAGTATTTTTATTGCATCTGAATATATATTCTGTTTCGAGATTTCTTCAGATATTTTTATCAAATTGATGTGTTCTCATCTTTGGAAGAAACAGCTGATAGAAATAGTACAGTGTATTTTGACTTGCCAAGTATTTTCACAAAGTTGCTTTGCTAATTTTGTATTAAAGGATTTAAAACTGACTTTGTTTTCAGGATATCCAACAGCTGTGGAATCTTGGATCAAAACTGAAATGACAATTTTTTTTCATTTTTTTTTCAGAAACTTATTAAAAAAATAAAAATGTATTTTCTTAGCCCCAGTGGTTTTTTTCTGTGAAAATTAATTGTCCAGAGTAATTTATTCTTACTTTTATCATTTTCATATACTGTACTGTACATACATTGTATTTCTTTGAATGCGACTGCTTTGGTTTGTAAAAATATGTTTTGGATGGAGAGAAAGTTTATTATCCAAAACAGATCACGGTTTTATAATATTTGCATTGAAGACTCTATTATATTCAGTGACAGAAAAATCTCATTGCTGGGATCTGATATCCAGGTTTAAGATGGGCCTGTTGATTTTTACCCCTTGGGTTAAAAAAAATTTCAGACTAAATTGCTCAGGAGTTAAACATTCCTTTTAAGACATTTTCAGAAGGAAAAAAAGCTATATTTATTAAAAATACAGTGAGTATGTATTATTTCTACCAGAAATACTAATTGCGCCGAAAAAATTACGAGAAACCAGCAGTTTGTTACTGTGTAACCCCTTTGTTTTCCCCTATCTATGCAACTTTGTTACTTTTGATGAATCGTATTCTTTCTTGTGCCTTTTTGTCTTACAACAGTTATAATATATATTGATATATGTGTTCGTGTTGATGTGATATTAGAATCTTTCATTTTTGTAAAATTGGCGATCTGTGAAATTTTTCTTTAAAATTCACTTAAAGTGAAAAATTTACACATGAAAGGTGAAGTTAAAAAGAATTTGGTGAGACTGACGTTTAGCCAGTCATAATATGTTATAATTTGTTTTATGTTTTCTTATTTGAAAGAGCCCAGTAGCACATAATAAAATAAAACATGGGCCTTCTTGCACAAAAATCCTTCAGTATTTCAGATTTCTTCCGCATTTTATAATATGCCCTTTTTGACAGACAATTTGTGATCTGATGTGATCCATTTAATCTTGCCTAGAATATCTTACATTTATGATGATAATTTGCATGTAGTTTTCTGAATTAGTTTTCACAATAGACCGAATGAGAACAAGTCTTTTCAGAACCCTAACTTTAAGGACAAGGACATGCTTTGCAGTCAAGGTCCTTTTTGTTTTGGGAGAATTTGTGATTAAAAGGGAGAGATGTTTATAATATTTAATGCAAAGTTCATAAACTAGAAGTTGTTAAAGAATTTAAAATGAAATGCAATGATATCAAACCAAGGCAGGTCATATGAACTACCAGCAGGAAATATGAAATCCAGTGAGGTAATATGAAATCTAATCTGGTAAGGTAATATGAAATCTAGTAAGGTAATATGAAATCTAGAAATCTGGTAAGGTAATATGAAATCTAGTAAGGTAATATGAAATCCAGGCTGGTAATATGAAATCTAGTAAGGTAATATGAAATCCAGGCAGGTAATATAAATTATCCAGGCAGGTAATATGACAAATGTAATTAAAGCAATTTCAATGTAAATGGAAAGTTTCATTGTGCTGGGATTTAAATTAAAACATGTTTTAAGATACTGAAGAAGTTTTTGTGAGCCTGGGTCATATATCTTTAACATCTAAGTCAATCAAGTCAGATAACCATTGGAGAAACAAAATTACTTTTTTGGCAATGTATTTATTATTATACAACCCACTTGTATTCACTTTCAGACAGCTGATCTATCTCTCATCATTGTTTTCAATAATTATTGAATTATTTACAATGTTTAGTCAAGTCTAACAGTGTCGTAATAAAATTTTGAATGGAAAACAACAGTTTTACATGTTTTCTTTTTCCTCATTTTCTTTACTAAGAAAATAGCTGGCACCCATTATAAAAGTTGGATTTTTTCCATTGTCCATTATCTGTCATACACTCCAAATATCTTGATGTTACAACTACAGTGCCTTGAGGTCAGGGTCACAGGTCATAGCTCACTTTGCAATCGATTGACCAAATCTTTTTTGGAAGACATGTGAGAGAAATGGTAGGGTTCAGAGGTTACAGATAGATCATTGTAACATGTGAGAGAAATGGTAGGGGTCAGAGGTTAAAGATAGATCATTGTAACGTGTGAGAGAAATGGTAGGGTTCAGAGGTTAAAGATACATCATTGTAGCATGTGAGAGAAATGGTAGGGTTCAGAGGTTACAG